TTTTTTTACAAATCTGTATGCTGCCAGGAAGAGCTCCTCATTAAACCACAAACATGAATTTTGGAGTTGCTATTATAGTAGCCGCACTGTTGACTTCATAAATGAAAGAACAGCAACGTACATTCTGGCAAGAAAAGAAGTACATATAAGGAAGCTTACTTCCTAACCACCAACGAATAGACTGCTATGTAATTGCCTAGCATTTTATACACTGCAGAGAAAATTTCATTCAAAACACAATGAAGCCTCAAATGACACTGCTAAAGAAGGATGCTCAGCAAGCAGATTTTTAAATTTACGATAATGAGACAGGCATTGGGTACAATTTTTACGGAAAAATAACCGGAGCCTTTAACTGAAAAACATTGTTGAATTAAAAAGGAAACAAGTTACTGACGTGTATAAAATAATAGCAGTGCTAATAAATGCTGCGTTATACCCTACCCCTCTTTGAAAAAATTTATGATGCCATAGACCTAAAATAAAGAAAAATCCATCCAAAACTTAACACAAGCTTGTACAATTGTGCAGTCCAAATTATACACGTAGAAGAAAACCATCCAGAAGCAACGTTCCTGTTCTTACTCATAAAATTAATTTTTTTTAGTAAACACCCGCTTTCTCAAATTTTTCCGAAATTACTAAGTGAAACTTAGGAAGCTTCACCGGTCAAATTAAAATTATGAAACAATTTTTAAAACGAAGACACTATCACAAAAATTTGCTGCATACTGTTCAATATAACAGATAGTCCAAATAAAAAGAGAAGTCCAAGTAGTTTATCTAAAATTTTAGAACTACTTTCTTTAATCCAGGAAACTACTAAAACGTTGAAAATAACCAGATCTGATTCTTGGAAGAAACAGGAAAAAAATATAGTAAACCTCGAAGACCATCTAGAAGGCTCCTGTGGACGATGGTGATGGCTTAAAAACGTGTCAACCGATGACGGCCTTCTGTCCATGTCTGATGAAGCGAGAATGTTCTCGCAACACGGACTTCCGCTTCTCCAAATGTACGAGCTGTTATCCTGACATGCTGCAAAAAGCATTTTCAACATCTGTGACGTAATGTAAAAAATTTAAAGCATCAAAAATTACGAAAATAACTTCTAAATAGTTAACAATAGAATTCCATGCTAAAACTACTTGACACACCTTTGCAGCGGTCATGTTCTACAACAAACTTACTTGCATTCTCAAGTCTTTAAAACTATCATTTCTAAAGCTTAGATCGTCAAATGCATTTCCACTTTCCTCGAAGAAAGAAGTAGAGGAGTCGAAATAAGTTTAATAAAAGCGTGTATAATCAAGACTCATTGGGCAAAATCAAAAACCTCTCATATTCATCTCACTTTCTTTTTTTGCTCTGGTATGTCAAGAAATCAAACCAACAAAATAAGAATAAATTTTTGCCCAAATGCAGAGATTTAAAAAAAACCAATGTACATTTGATGTTGCTTTCCCTCAAATGTGACACTATTAAAAACTAATACCAAACGTACCAGAAAGCGGTGAAACAGTTCAAAAAAAATAAAAAAAAGAAACGTTATTTTTACAAAACACAATTACGATCGACATTTATACGACCAGCAAACAAAAAGCTTCTCTCGAGAGTACAAGCGTTGTTTGAGTAAAAAAGAATCTCT